TTTTGTACTCTTGTTGGTATAGTGAAATTGCTCCTCTCCGCTTGTGGATGTAGGTCACCTTGACCGAACCACGTTAAATTTGTGTCTTCTTTATATTCTTTAATTGTCGTTATTATCAACTTCTATTGTCTTTGTTATTGTCATTATATCGTTGTTTGGCTAAATTCTGCACTACCCGGGTTCCCGATCCTAACAAATTGGTATCAGAGCCAGATCTAACCGGGTTAGTTTAAATAGTCAAAATGACTCTAACAAAGTCTTATGTTGAGAAATTTGACCGAAGTGCAAACTTCGGAATGTGGAAATTAAAGATGGAAGCTATCCTAATTCGGGATGGCTTAGATTTGGCACTGCAAGAAAAGGAGAAGATGCCGGATAAAATGACGGATGAGGAGTTTGCCGTCATAGACAAAAAGGCAAAAGCAGGTATTATTTTAAATCTTTCAAATAAGGTTTTGCGTGAAGTTGTAACAGAAAGCTCAGCCAAAGGTATATGGGAAAGTTTAAAACCTTATATATGAAAAGAACAGTAGAAAATAGGCTTTACCTAAAGCAAAAACTCTACACTTTTCGTATGGCTGAAGGTACCTCTATACTTACTCATCTTGATACTTTTGATTCTCTTCTTATGGATTTAAGTAACATAGATGCTGAAATCAAAGATGAGGATCAAGCTGTATTATTGCTTGTTTCCTTATCCCAGTCGTTTAAACATATAAGAGATACTATCCTTTATGGAAAGGATAATATCTCTTATAAAGATATCAAATCTATTTTGAAATAAAAAGAACAAATAGATAGAGATATTACTGGGGAAACCAGTGGGAACCAAGGGGAAGGCTTATTCATAAGAGGTAGATCCAATAAGAAAGATTCAAGTAGTGAGAAATCTAAATCAAGGTCAAAATCCAGATACAGAAATGTCATGTGCAAATATTGTCATAAGAAAGGTCACATTATTTCTGAATGCTTTAAATTGAAAAATAAAGAAAAGCATACAGAAAAGAAAAATGAGCACAAAAATACTGACACTGCCGAAGCAAGTGTAGCTGCTGATGAGACTGAGGGAACTTTTTTTTTAGCAACTAATAATAGTTTCAAATCTAACAATGAGTGGATTTTAGATTCGGGTTGTTCTTATCGTATGTGTCCCAGTCGGGATTTATTTACCACATATGAATCTATTGGAGGTGGAGTTATCTTGATGGACAACAATAATGCCTACAAAGTTATTGGAAAAGGTACAGTCCGAATCAAAATGCACGATGGTGTGGTGAGAACTCTCACCGATGTTAGACATGTTCCTGACTTGAAGAAAAATCTCATCTCTTTGGGCACTCTAGAATCTCTTGGGTGCAAGTACACAGGTGAAGGTGGAGTTCTGAAAATTTCTCATGGTGCTCTTGTGATCATGAAAGCACGCAGATCTGGTACGTTGTATACTCTTTTGGGATCTACTGTTACAGGTGCTGCTGCAGTTTCAATATCAGATAAATCAGATTCTGACATCACCAAATTGTGGCATATGCGATTGGGGCATATGAGTGAAAAAGGTCTTTTCATCCTCAGCAAAAGAGGTCTTTTATGTGGCCAAAATACCGGAAATATGGAGTTCTGTGAATATTGTGTGTTCGGGAAGCAGAAAAGAGTCAGGTTCAAATCTCCAGCGATTCATAGAACAAAAGGTACTTTGGATTACATTCATTCAAATCTTTGGGGTCCTTCACGTACCCCATCAAAAGGTGGTGCCAGGTATATATTAACTTTTATTGATGATTATTCAAGAAAAGTTTGGGTTTATTTTCTAAAAAATAAAAGTGATGTTTTCTTAAATTTCAAACAATGAAAAATTTTGATTGAGAAGCAAACAGGAAAACAGGTTAAGCGGCTTAGAACAGATAATGGCTTGAAATTTTGTAATGATGAATTCAACGAATTTTGCAAGAATAAAGAAATTGCTCGACATCGTACTGTGAGAATGACACCTTAGCAAAATGGTATGGCAGAAAGGATGAATAGAACTCTTTTGGAAAGGGCTCGTTGCAAGATTTCAAATGCTGGGTTGGCAAACGCCTTTTGGGCAGAAGCTATCTCTACAGCTTGTTATATTGTCAACCGAGCTCCTTCTGCACCTTTGAACTTTAAGTCTAGAGGAAGTGTGGTCAGGTACTCCTGCTAATTATTCTGATTTAAAGATATTTGGTTGCCCTGCATACATGCATGTAAATGATGGAAAATTAGAGCCAATGGCTAAAAAGTGTATTTTCCATGGGTATGCATCTGGGGTGAAAGGATACCGACTATGGTATCCTGATCCCATGGCACCAAAATTTATAATTAGCAGAGATGTAACATTTGATTAATCCTCTATGTTACATTCTAGAAAAGAGTCTTCTAGTTCTTGTGATACAGATAAAGGAAAGTGTACACAGAACCAGGTGGAGATTGAGGTTGGCATTCCTTCTGAGCCAAGCTCATCAACTTTGGAGCAAAATATAGTTGAAACTCCTGAAGTTGAGACAGAAGCTGAAATTCCTGAAGTTGAGACTCCTGAAGTTGAACCAGAAGAAGAGGAGTATTCTATAGCCAAACATAGACCAAGAAGAGAAGGTAAAGAACCATTAAGGTTTGGAGATTATGTTGCATTTGCTTTTTCAGTTGCACAGGAAACTGAAGAAATTGGAGAACCATCAAAATATTCAGAAGCAGTTTCTGGTGCTGACTCAGCCAAGTGGCTGATTGCAATGAATGAAGAAATTGAGTCTCTCCACAAGAATGGTACTTGGTCTCTTGTGAAGCCGCCATCAGGAAAAAGAATTGTTGGTTGCAAATGGGTCTTCAAGAAAAAGGATGGCATTCCAGGGGTTGAAGATGCGAGGTATAAGGCACGATTAGTTGCAAAGGGCTATAGTCAGGTACAAGGAGTTGATTTTAATGATATTTTCTCACCTGTTGTTAAACATAGCTCTATTCGTGTCTTGCTTGCCTTCGTTGCCATGTATGATTTGGAATTAGAACAACTTGATGTTAAGACAGCTTTCTTACATGGCGAACTTGAGGAACAAATATACATGCATCAACCCGAAGGATTTGAAATTGAAGGAAAAGAAGATCATGTTTGCTTGTTGAAGAAATCCCTGTACGGATTAAAGCAGTCTTCAAGACAATGGTATAAAAGGTTTGATTCCTTTATGATGGGTCATGGTTATTCGAGGAGCATGTATGATAGTTGTGTTTACTTTCGGAAGTTAAATGATGGTTCATTTGTGTACCTATTATTATATGTTGATGACATGTTCATTGCTGCTAAGGATTTAATAGAAATTCACAATTTAAAAAGTCAGCTGAAAAGTGAATTCGAGATGAAAGATTTGGGAGCAGCTAAGAAAATCTTTGGCATGGAGATCAAAAGAGATCGAAAAGCCAACAGGCTATTTCTGACCATGAAGAAGTACTTGGAGAAAGTCTTGGAGAGGTTTGGCATGAAAGATGCTAAACCAGTTAGTACCCCTCTTGCTGCTCATTTTAAGTTATCAGCTGCTCAGTCCCCGCAGTCAGAGGAAGAAAAGAGGTACATGGCACAGATTCCTTATTCCAGTGCAGTCGGCAGTATTATGTATGCTATGGTTTGTACACGTTCAGATATTTCACAAGCAGTGAGTGTGGTAAGCCGGTATATGGCTTGCCCTGGTAAAGCACATTGGCATGCTGTGAAATGGATTCTCAGATACTTGCAAGATACTTCAAATATATGTTTGGAGTTTGGGAGAAATACTAACACTTTGGTTGGTTTTGTAGACTCAGATTATGACAGACTATGTATTTTATATCGGTGGTTGCGCTATTAGTTGGAAAGCTACATTAGAACATGTAGTAGCTTTATCTACTACCGAAGCAAAATATATGGCAGTGACCGAGGCGATCAAAGAAGCTTTATGGTTGAAGGGTCTATTTGCGGAACTCAGTTTATACCAAAGTGGTATTACCATTTTCTGTGATAGTCAAAGTGCCATTCACTTGACTAAAGATCAAATGTATCATGAGAGAACGAAGCACATTGATATAAAATATCATTTCATCCGAGAAACCATTGCTGAAAAAAAAGTCTCTGTTCAGAAGATCAATACTAGAGACAATCCTGCTGACATGTTTACAAAACCTCTTCCAGTGTCCAAGTTCAAGCTTTGCCTGAACTTGATTGGCATTTATGAAGAATGATTTTGCCCATTGGGGTTTTTGCGGAGAAGGTAGAGCAAATTTACTATATATAAGTCGAAATTAGGCCAAGGTGTTCGAATGTGTAATATGGCCAAATTTTCATGACATTTGCCATGACATAATATCCATTATAACAAATTTGTGGTTCATGACATTTGCCATGACATAATATCCATTATAACAAATTTGTGGATCATGACATTTGCCATGACATAATATCCATTATTAGGCCAAGGATTTCTTGCTATAAATAGAGGAGTTTCTCCTCATTTGAAAACACACCAATTCAAGAGCTTTTCACTCTTGTCTTTCTTTCTCCTCTTTTATTTCATTATAGAGTATTTTGTAAGAGAGTGAGTGTTGGGAAACACTTGTTGAACCCTTTCTTTGAAGTGATCTTGTGAGGTTATTCTCTTGGGGTATTTGGAATTAATTAGAGTATTTACTCTAATTTTGTACTCTCTTTTGTACTCTTGTTGGTATAGTGAAATTGCTCCTCTCCACTTGTGGACGTAGGTCACCTTGACCGAACCACGTTAAATTTGTGTCTTCTTTATATTCTTTAATTGCCGTTATTATCAACTCCTATTGTCTTTGTTATTGTCATTATACCGTTGTTTGGCTAAATTCCGCACTACCCGGGTTCCCGATCCTAACATAATGTTTTGTCAACAAGAACAAGGCTTAGCTTTTTTTGTTAAATTAGTTGAGTATTCTTTCAATTTTATAAACATAACTAATTAATACGTTAGCTATAGTTTAGCAATACCCAAGCTTTCGATATAAGTAATTATACTTCGTTTGTATTTTTATTTTCGATATAAGTAATACTGATATTATTTTACACTGGAATTTTAACGTATTTTAAACTATCCTCCAACATGAGATAACAATCCAAGAATTAACTACACCAGGATAAAACAAGTAAAATAACAAATTGTTCTTCTACTAAAACCTTCCATTAAGAAGATCAAGGTTTAAACTAGAAATAAAAGTTTATCATGTTTAAAGTCGAATACATCTTTGATTATACACTCATGTGTATCACATTTAAATGCAAAGAACCAAATAAATCGTAAGTAATATAAACAATCTAGGATAGTATTACAATATATGCATTATAATTCCAGCATAATTTTATTTTCGGGCCAAACGTCCCCTTATCTATCTAACGGAGTAGAGTAGCTGGCAGAGGCGGATGTAACGTACCGCACTCGGTTCAACTTAACCCAGTACCTTCGGCGTGGAGTATAAATTTATATGTAAAAATTTATTAATATTGTAATATATAGCAATATAAACCCATAATTTTAAAAATACAATGTATTCAATGCTAAAAATTTTAAATGTTGAACCCATAAAACTTAAATCTTAGATCCGTCTCTGGTAGCGGGAACTAGAGAAAGATAAAAGGTGGAGAAAAACACTACTTATTAGATCATGTGGTTTGTGTTTGTGGGGTTGTGCATTGGTGTTTGAAAGAAACTTATCTTGCATGAATTATTGAGGGAGTACGTAACAATATGACAGATATTATATTCATTAAGACATGAGTATAGGGGAATATCTATTCCCCTTAGTATTGGAAACCTGTTAATCATTCTTAGTAAAATAAAGCTGAAGAAAATATGAACAAAAAAGAGAGAAAAAACTAAAATCTCACTTGTCCACAGAAGAAGCACAAATATTTGGGGCCACAAAAGCAAGTGATTTGCATGTGCTTGGGTGAATTATGCTGATAGATGTTCCAAGGGACCAATTATATATATATATATATATATATATGTAGTCCCCCACCAATATAATATATAGGGCAATAATCTGTCAATATCATGATATTCAGACAATCTTAATAATCTAGTCTTTCTGTTACTGTTGTCCCCCATCCACTATATATGATTCTTGAATGATAGGCCATGGTCCAAAGTTGAGAATTATTGAGATAGTACTGTGTCCTTTATCTTAATTTATGTGATACTTCACTCATTTCAAAATATCTGACATAATTCTACTAACAATAAAATTCCATATCTTTAATGAGTTTCTACAATTCAAGGCCAGTTGACTAATCAAATTTAGATTTTAATAAAGTGAATCTAATATACTGCTAATTAATTAAACTATGATCAACCACATAAAGTGAAGGACAGAGTTTCTATGGTTGTTTAGTCTTAATAAAAGATATATCCTAACAGGAAAAAGAAAAAGACAAAGACAAGAAAAAAGAGTGAAACTAAAAATTCTGAGATATAGGTCCATAGATGTTGGGTTTTTTAAAATGATGGGGCAGCAAAAAAGTTTTAAAATATTAATTGAAAATGTCACTCATAAATTTTATTAACCAAAAGGGCTTTAAATAGCCAACTTAAAACAGAATCTTGCAGAATAAATATTCAAATTTAAAAATTTAAAATATCTCAACTAACTTATCCAATTAAATTTAAATTTAAACAAAGCTCCTCCTACGACTAAATTACTTATTATTCTAGTAAATCAAATATCACCAGTAACAAGAACCAAAAGAAAAGGATTTTTACGAAATGATCAACTTGTGCATCGTTCTCTTAAATTATTTTGCATGTAGATTGTAGTATACCATGCAAACATTTCATAAGACAGGATTCTGAAATAATTACCTCTTCCTCAGATTTTAGTTCTGGAGTAGTCATAGGTGAGGAATCAGCTGCTTCACTTTGCTTTATAGACATTTCTTCAATTGATGGAGTTGGAACTGGACTTGGACTATTAGAACTGACATAATTATAAGCTGGTATGCTTTGTGTTCCCATATCTCTTGTTATGCTAACATCTTTCTTCTCTAAAACTAAAAGTGTGCAAAAGAAAAAAAAGCATTGTGAGTAGAAGAAAGGATAGTTAACAACAACAACATTAACAAACTCAGTGTAGTATGGGGTCTGTGGAGGGTAATGTATACATAGACCTTACCCCTACCTTGTGAAGGTAGAGAGTTTGTTTCCGATAGACCATCGGCTCAAGAAACAGTAAAAAAGAAGAAATGATAGTTAATGGTCTTGAAAATATAATTAAGTAAATAAAAGTGTATCTTTTTAACAATTTAAGTTTTAGACGAGGTAATCACACATTCTACATGGTATTAGGCAAAGATCGTGAGTTCATGTCAAATTACCACCTATTATAGAACAAGAAGTTCTATGTATTTGGCCAATGAAGAAGAATTAGGTCGGCACATGAGGAAGGTTGAAGATATAACTAAAACAAAAATGTACGCTCTCTAACAGCTTAATAGTTACGCATTCCAACAAATAGTAAGGAAGAAATGAAATGAAAAACAAGTGTTTATACCTTTGCTTGGGATTTGGTTTTCAACATCTTGTGTAGGGAAAGAAGGCTTTGCAGGGTATTTTGTTGGAAATTGTCCTGTACTCTGAATCTGACAAGGAAAAATGAGAGGTGCTGAGATAGTAATTCTGCTATTTGTTTGGCGAAATGATCTTTCATTCAGTGTTTTTGTAGATAAACACTCCAAAGGAACTTCCCCTGACAATGGATTGCATATGTATTTCTCAGCTTCATTCCATTTTGAATTGAGAACCAAGCCATCTGGTGACATGTATTCCCAATTATATAATGTTTTTGCCTGTAATGCTGCATTCAAAAACTAGGTAAAGTTGAAAATCACCATTCATCACAATCATCTTTATTGTTCAAATGACTCACCTTTCAGGGCAGTGGTAAAAGAATATTTTGATGGATCAATTTCCTCTGCAGAAAAAATTAGAGCTTTATAAGATACAAAACTCCAAACCATGATTTTATACGCAATTCAAGATTTCGTTTGTGTTCATGTTGGCGATTTTTGATGTAAATTATTGAAAGTGAAAAGGGGTGAAGAAGATGTTACCTCTTAAAGTGTAGCCAGGAGAAGAAGCAGTGCTTGAAATTGTGACATTTGATCTAAAAGATTTTGCATTTTCTCTGAAACTTCCAATATAAGATGCTGAGTACCTTCTTGAATTAGTTTTTTCTCTGCTAAGTTTAGCCTTAAGAGCCCATTCTCTCAAATTGAACTCTGCTTCATCTGGCTTTCTTGAACTTCCAAAAGCTGACTGTTCCATGCTAGGTTCTAGTTTCATGGATATACTATTGATGTAGGTAAGAAGACTTTAATGGCACTAAAATTTCTTTTATTTTTAACAGATAGGAAAGTAAGTCCAAAAAAACTCTTGTTGCAGAATAAGCAAAATAATTCAAGAGCATGAACTTAACATGTAACTTCCAAAAAATAATTTCGAAATATAAAATTCCTACCCTGTAGCAACCTCGTAAATGAGCTAAAAGTGGACCACGTGAATATTTGGTTTATCTGCAAGTAGTAAGATCAGACAGAGCTCTAATCTGATCTTGCTTTTGCATTTGCATGATAAAATGGAGGGGAAGCTTGGTGAATAATTGTAATAAAGTTAGCAAATTTACTTGGAATGTGGTTGCCAAAGTTTATACTCCTAACACGGAGTTTAAAAAAGAAAGACTTTTCAAATTTATAGCCTAAAAAATATCATAAATATTTATGTGGTTATAAAATCATGTCAGGTAAATAAAGAATTTAAAATTAAATTACTTCTAAAAATTAAAATGTTTCTTTTTTTATGAAAATGTGTGTCACATAAAATTGGACAATGATCTCTCTTTTTGTAGTACCCAATCTAGGAGCTGAAATACTACTCTATGTCTGCAAGAGCATGCAGTTTCGCCCTTATATTTTGGTACAAATAACAAAGTACAAGATATCCTGGAAAAGTGGAAATATATGTTGATTCACCAAAACATTCTATACAGGACTGTGAATTGTGATCAATGTTGATTTTTTTATTAGCCTTATGGATAAAGTCGTGTGGTTAAACAGGAAAGCAATTTAAAGAAGTGATCACAAATCGTTGTGTACTACTAACTCCTAATCGAATTGTTTGAGATTTACAAGTGGAAGACAAGAACCTAAAATGCATATAATTTTGAATTAGCTCTGAGATGATTAGAACTTTCTCCTATTCTTGTGAGTCCAAAAAATTCAATTAATATCAACTTGTTTAGTACTCCTTTAGGGAGTTCCTATATCCATATGGTAAGCTCGCAAAGCATAATGGAGTACTAAATATAAAAAGTAGCCAACATTGAAAAGGACATGTACTCCGGGCAACATTCAGAAGTTCAAAGAAATGATTCATGAAAATTCATTTTCTTGGCAGCAAGAAGATATCCAATGGAATATGGACATGTGTTGCTAATCCATATCCAAGAAGATAGGGGGAATGATATATTTCCAAAGAATTGATGAAGGGGCATTCCACAATCCACAGTGTTGGGTTATATTCATTCTAGATTGGAAAGATTGTGTTGAAAGAGAAAGGAGAATAGTGGATATATAGAGAGAGATTGATGTATGCATGTGTTCATANCTTCTTCTTACTGGACATTTTGTTGATCACCCTCAGGTTTTGTCTCACGTGTATGCAAAGTAGGTTTCATGGCAGAGGATAGAGAGTATGTTGTTTTATGTCTCGTTGGGTTATTTGATCCTTCTTTACTTCCGGTATTTTTATCCAATTGGTTTTTACTTGTTCCATCCTCCGAAAATGTGTCTAATCTTCTAAAAAATTCTCACTCTTGGAAGATCCAACAATAGTAACGATATTTTTTTTGAGAATTTGAGCAACATAAGTGATTTGACACCTAACGAGCTTTAATGCCCGGCAAACAAATATGCAATCGTTCTACTTATCTACAACAATATGCAAAGGGGTTTCAAGTGGTCCGACAATCATGCAATACGTATAATAAAAGCCATAACATGGCCCAAAGGTATCTTCATAACAAAATAAGTCACCTCAACAAGACGACATCCGAATACAAATTCGTAACACCACATACACCAACTCAACTTTCATAGAGCTTAGAGTTATGAATACATTAAGTTACCCACTTACAGAGTATAGGTGCTTATGTTTGTCTTATACAATAATTTAGTTGAAAAGAATCTTTGTACTATCCGTGGACAAAAGCTAAACTCTTGGTGAAATGTACTCCCAAATTTATTAGTTGATTGAATGTGGCTTTATTGGTTCATTTGCACACAAAATTGGACACAAGTGGGCTTTGTGGGAGGCTTAGGGCCACAGCAAAGGAAAGTCTGGGCTCTCAAGAGGAGATGGCAGTCAACTTCATACCTGACACTAACATGCATACTACTACTAATACTGTCAAGTGCCCACTATCTCGTCTCAATTATGAAGTAGTTTCCACCTCAATGGACAAGATGCCCAGAGAATCTTTTACTATGCATTTCACCCCCAACCATATTTGGAATAGCAGCAAGATGAGGTAAGACAAGGCTAAGGATTATAGAAACTGTCAACTGTATATACAGCAGAGCGCAATACATAGTTCATACCATCTTCTGCATTTTCATACCATAAAACAATTAAGCTACATGAGTACAGAAGTTTGTAAAACAGTAAAGAGTCATCCCTAAGTCTATGAAAATACTCGCTTTTTTGTTGCTATGAAAATACATATTGTTTTATGACCAAGATGACAAGTTGGTAGTCGATATTTCAAATGACCTCAGGACACATCATATAGTAACAAGTTGGTTACAAGACAATGCTACCATTAAATGGAGTTCAAATAGAAACAACAAAAGGATGTGGATGGAGAAGGCACATTACAGACAAAACTAGATACAACTGCAGTTACAATATTCCTAGAGGTCACTGACAAAACATTACAACCAGAAGGTAAAGGTAACATATTGAAATGTAATCTTCAAATCCTATCCTCTACCCTCTTCTTTTCTGGTACTGTGAATCTGCAAGTCACAGAAAAATAAGGGTAAAAATACCATCCATAAGAGAAGCCGCTACCCACTGCATTTCTCCAAGGAACTGCAGGTAAGATGATGACAAAGGTTGTTGATCTTAGCTAGGCACGCATCTCTTGACATGTTGCAGAACATATTTAGTACCTGAGTTCTACCAAGTGGTTGTCAAAAATCAGAAAAGATCTTAAGCAATAGCTTCACTATTCTGAAATGGAAGTATCTCCTGGACTTTGTGAGCTCTGACCCTCTTTACCCTGCAATTGAAGAAATATGATTCATTCCTGAAGATTATTAAAACTTACAAACAGTAACGCCTGATCAACTCAGTAATACTAATCCCAAGTGGGAAACTGCAAGTTAGAAGCCGAGACAACATATTGGCAGCAAGGATGTGTTATTTTCAGTCAAGTTGAATTATCAATGAAGTTTATTCAACATATGCCAATAACAATAAGCATTAACATAAATACATGCTTGCAAGCAAATAGCTAATGCAGAATTGTGATTTGTGACATAGTATATTTCTGTTAAATGCTCATAAATCATTACTTGATATCATGAGACAAATGAGTGCATTTTTCACCTTACTAAAGGATGTTTTATATCAATTACTAGACTGGTACAAGGCCATTTCTGACTTCCGGAGCATAGAACAGGGGAAAAGTACATTTCTTTCTACCATCCATGGGAGTGGTCTAAGCAGCAATCAGAAAGGCAAGTACTGCAGTTCGTATATTCCAGAACAATAAAGAAGAAACTAAAATGAGCTTTTACATTGACCATGCAATAGAACTTGGAGAAAACCTTTTTTTCTTTTTGACAAGTCAAAAAAGTATGAAAATCCTAAAGGCCAGACAATCAGACAAAACCGTGTTGAAATATACAACAGCAAATATTCTCTTAGGAGTCTAAAAAGGTATCCAGTCAATGCACTTGTTTCTTATTCTAGACAATAAAGCATGCCAAACCTGAAATTCAGGCTCTTTAAATAGCCAGCTGGAAAAAATGAGAACTCAGCCTTGGAATCTCTATCAGTTTAATGGAATATAGTATTTGCATTACCAACCTTGAAAAATTAATGCGCTTCTCAATGATTTCTTTCTGTTCAACATCAAAAGCGGACCATTTTTCATCGGATGCAGCAGTATCACCAGTTCCTATGTCTGCATATGAAATAGGTGTAAAGAAGGTCATCCAAATGCCAGTTGCAGAAAACCAGAGAAAATTTATATATACTTGAACCAACCTTGACATAATAGAATGGAATTGTCACAATAGCATTTTAGTCTCCAATACACATTACCATCAGTGCCTAAAAAGAAAGGCTCTGTCCTAA